TTAAATGTGAACAAAGAGACTTGTAAGTCAAATATGCCAACAATACCACAGTAGCTTTTAAACAATGTGCTTTTAACAAAATAAACTAGACCTATTTATTCTTGAAATGTCATGCATGAAATACTATTCATATCAACCRAGATACACAGCTCAGTTGGATRTTTTCTTTTTCTTATTGTTAGGAGAGGCGAAAAGGGTTTTGGACGGTGTAACCACATTGGAGGCATTATATTTGCTATTGAAGATTTCAGCCGCAATGGCCTCCAGCACATAAATGAGCCAATCTCATGTACATCACGTCTGTGTGGCTGGAATGTACCACGTAAGTAGAGAGAGTAGAGAGTAGAGCCACAGCCATTAGAAAGTGTTGCCTTCAAAAAAATACGTTATGGGAAAGCTACATCATCAAAGGCCAAAATAACTTCATATGACCCCCGTGCCCCATCAGATAGGGATGTAAACCAAGAGGCATTAAGGACACTTGGTGATAAACTGYCAGTCTGCTTACAAAGCAGCAGTTTCTTTCTTTTTCATGAAATAAAATCTAATGTTGCATGTGATGAAATTGAAATCGACAGTGTGAATGAAACAATCCCTGACAGTGTACTTGTGGATGAACCAATTGACACTGAATCACAAGATATGGCATTCAATGATGAGTATGACATCAGCTGCAAAGCTTTTAAAGAAATGATTGCTTGCTATATTGATGGCTTTGTTATTACTGAAAATGAAATTAATGAAATTGAGACTTTAACAAGAGGACAGATTAATAATAAGGCTTGGAGGTCTCTTAAGGAAACTATTCTGACTGCATCCAACTTCAAGAAAGCTGCCATAAGAAGGAAAGAACCAGACAGTCTACTGAAGGACATAATGTACATCAGTACAATTGATAGTAAGCAAAATAAAGTACCATCGCTGTCATATGGCCTTCAACATGAAGATGATGCTGTAGAATGTTATGTTTATCAACAGCATGCTACTGGAAACATTAATTTTAGAGTGACTGAGGTAGGCACAATGGTATCAAAGGAATTTCCAGGTATAGGAGCAAGCCTTGACAGGATTGTTTATGATCCTTCATCCACTAATGGTACCAAGGGAGGACTAGAAGTAAAGTGTCCCTATTCAAAACGTGGCATGAGCCTAGAAGAGGCTTGTTCTGACAGCCAATTTTATCTCACATTAAATAATGGAAAGCCCATTCTCAAGAGAGATSATACTTACTTTTACCAAGTGCAAGGACAGATGTTTGTATGTGATCTGCCATGGGTCTATTTTCTTGTATGGTTTGGTAATGACATTATTGCTATGCAGCGAATCACCTTTGACAATAGATGGTGGCGAAAAGAGGCCATGCCTGCATTAATGCACTTCTATAAAAGGGCATTTCTGCCTGAGGTCCTAACACGTAGAGTAAAGAGAGGTGTCCCTTTATACCGACATGGAGGCTGGGTTAGCTACAAGCAGTCCAAGATGAGGTCATCTTGATTATAACAATCACATCATCCACTAAAGACATTGCACATGTATAATTTATTCAAGTTAATAGTCTAAATTTATAGTAGAGTTATATATATTTATATATTATAATACACTCAG